ACAGGACTGAGAACTTCTTAAAATAAAAATTTTTTTAAATAATTTTGTGTGCTCTTGAGCACTGTGCCATATATTTGAGTACACTTAGCACACATATTATTTCTTGATATTAATTCAGCCAGTTTAGGCTGCTAGGGAAATGATTCATACCTACTTATGGATACCTACTTATGGATAACCTACTAATAGGTGTAACTCAAAATGCAAAGTAGTAAAGGTGTTAGGATTACTTGCCTCTCCTTGTGCTCCCATAGTCACTTATGTTTACTCCTACATGGCAGTTACACCATTTACATTCCCTCGATGTTTATCCCTAAGAGAGTCTATCACAAACTGGAGCAGTGGTTTTTAATTGAAGTGGGGGTGGTAGGAATGGGGCCTATACATTTTGGAAAACATTCCCCATGCTGTTCTTTAGGCACATCACACCTTCCATCTTCATCAACCCCACCATTCTTCTTTTGGAAGCTTATACTCATGTCTAAAGTCTTAGAAAATAGGAAACTGTACCTTATTTATCATTGTATCCCAGTGCTTAACATTTTTGTGGCATCTATGCCATTAAGATAGGAGATAAATTTTCCCTGCAGGAAGGTAAAACTAGGAGTTTGGAGGTAGGAGAAATTAACTGTGACTTGGAAGAGCATGATCAACTCCATACAAGGGTTACTTGAGAGGAGTTATGAAAAAGGTGTAGGGCTGGCTTTATAGAAATGAAGGAAAGCATTTCACATGAGAGAATGAGCAAAAGCAGACACAGGAAAGTGTGGTTTGTATTCCCGGAATTCTTAGGCAAAAATCATAGAGTGTGTAAAGTGGAAGAAGCCTAATGAATTTGCCTCTTGAAGGCCATTGCAGGGAATTTGAACTTTATTTGTAGGTGGTGGGGAACGATTGAAAAAATGTTTATGTGGCACAACTTGAATCATCTCTCAGCAACTTGATACATCTGTCACTGTGGAGATGAGATTATGGCTAGGTAGAAAGTGGAGATGGGCTCTCGTTAAAATGAGGACATTAGGTACAATTAGAGTCTAAATTAGATTGACAGTGAAGAAAGAAGAGGGAGTTAATGCCAGAGATATTTGAGAGGTAAAATTAGTAAGCCACTCTTTCTTTTAAGTACCACATTTTTCATTTTAAAGTCTTTTTTTTTTTTTTGAGAGAGAGAGAGAGAGGGAAAGAGAGAGAGAGAGAATGTGCATGCACATGTGGAGGAGCCAGGGAGGGGCAGAGAGGGAGGAAGAGAGAGAATCCCAAGCAGGCTCCATGCTCAGCGTGGAGCCCAACATGGGGCTTGATCCCACAAACTGTGAGATCATGACCTGAGGCGAAATCAAACACAGGCTGCCCCTGCATTAAAGATGGTGCTAGCAAAGAAGAATGTTTTGACAGGCGAACACTCCTCCTTTGCAATTGAATTGCCTCGGCATTTATAGAAAATAATGAAGTAAAGTTAATTGGATATCATCCTGATAATAACAGTAGAGTTAAGTGATTGATAATGTATTGTGGAGGTTTATTTCCATGTAAGAATTAATTGTAGTTTAGAGACATGTCCAAAGAGAACAAGATATTAATTTGGTCTTTGTGTTTCTGTAGTGGTTTACATAAGCCTTTTATGCTTTCTCTCTATTTATGAATTCAGGCACAGAAGATGCTAAGTGATGGTGCACTCTCAGTGCCTCTTTAGAAAATTACATAGGAATCAGTATACAATATGCTGATGTACTATTTACCATAACTGAGAAACTGAGCTGAAATATTGAAAATGAAGGATATTCTTCTTGTTATCTTGTGAACCGCCCTTATCTGAGTATTTGTTTTAGCAGATTTTAGCTGACAGCAAAAATTAATATCGTCAGTGTTATTTTATGTATGTTGCTAGTTTTTGCAGTTTTAGGAGACAGAAATACATCATCTGTAAATCAAGTGAATTATTCATATTACTGTTAGTATCATTTCTCTTAAGTAGTTTGTTGACTTTATATAATACAGTGTTTGCTTCATGTGGTCTTCAGCTCTAGAAGCTCATTTGTATTGTTTTAAAACTCAAAACAAAGACTTTTGGTTTTTAAGATAGCAGATTAGAGGCATTTCTACTTCCTTCTATCTAAAATTACCCTGAAACAACAAGGAGATTGAGAGACAGAGATTACATCTTTGGTGAGACAGGAACCCTATAACCCCAAATCAAAATATTTGAGAAATGGTTCCGGTAAGCAGGAAGAGATTAAACGAGGATGCTGTTGGGAAGAGATCTCAGATAGAGTTGGCAGTGCAGTGAGGGAGAGATCAGTTTCCAGTGGATGAGCATGTGTAGCAAGGCGGTAAGAGCTTCCTTGGGTTATTTGGCAGCTTGAACTAGCAGGAAAGGAAGAGCACATGAGAAACCGGACAGATACACCCCATCTTTGCAGGAATCACTTTCTTGGTAGGACAAGGAGTAATGGCTAAACAACTGTCACTTGTTTTCAGACACATTCTCTTTGTCTCTTTTTCTCCCACACACACATGCGCAAAGCACTATGTCATAAATGCTTGCTTGTATATCAGAGACTACCTTCTAGTCCAGAGCACAGCCTGTTTGTTCCTTCCATAGGCCTCTTGCAAATAACTGATCTTAGTAGAATCACATCATTCACAGGTAAATAATAAAAAGGAAATGAGCACAGTATCTCCCCAAAAATGGTACAAGAAAAAAAGGAAAAAAGAAACAGGGCAAAACAAGTGACAAAGAACTCATGAGAAAACTGTATTTGGCCTAAGAAATTTAATGAAACAATCACTTCTTTAAATTTCTTAAAATATTTATTTATTTTTGAGAGAGAGAGACAGAGACAGAGACAGAATATGAATGAGGGTGGGGCAGAGAGAGAAAGAGACACAAAATCCGAAGTAGGCTGCAGGGCCTGAGCTCTTAACTGAGAGCCCGATGCAGAGCTGGTACTCATGAAGCATGAGATCGTGACCTGAGCTGAAGTCAGACGCTTAAGTGAGCCACCCAGGTGCCGTGAAACAATCACTTATTTAAAATAATAGACAGGGGGCGCCTGGGTGGCTTAGTCGGTTAAGCGTCCGACTTTCGCTTAGGTCATGATCTCGCAGTTCGTGGGTTCGAGCCCCGCGTCAGGCTCTGTGCTGACTGCCAGGTCAGAGCATGGAGCCAGTTTCAGAGTCTGTATCTCCCTCTCTCTCTGACCCTCCCCTGCTCACGCTGTCTCTCTCTCTCTCCTAGAAATAAATAAAAAATAGTAAAAAAATAAATAAAATAATAGACAAAGTTAATTAGATAGGAAGAAATAGTAAGACAACAGTATATGATAAATCATATTCTGGCAGAGCTCAAGAAAGACAGAAAAATAAAGTCAGGGAAATAAAAGGCCATATGGGAAGTGAAAAGGAGAATTAACCTTGTTGAAAAGTCAGTAAAGGTCATAACAGCAGGCTTTTGGAAGTTGAAGCGCAATGGCAATGAGAGGAGATGAAACAAATGCTCAGGTGTGTTCTGGAAATAAGAGAATTCAACATTAGAACAGAAAAAATACTGAAACATATAACTTAAGAAACTTCCCACTAAAAAAAGAAATTTTGGTTCTACAGATTGGAAGGACACATAATGAAAAACAGCTAGTATACATTAACCCTTGAATAGTATGGGGATTAGGGACACCAACCTCCTCAGGCAGTTGAAAATCAGTGTGTTAAGGGGCGCCTGGGTGGCTCAGTTGGTTAAGCATCCGACTTCGGCTCAGGTCATGATCTCACGGTTCGTGGGTTCAAGCCCTGTGTAGGGCTCTGTGCTGACAGCCAGCTCAAAGCCTGGAGCCTGTTTCAAATTCTGTGTCTGCCTTTCTCTCTGACCCTCCCTTGCTCATGCTGTGTGTGTGTCTCTCTCTCTCTCAGAAATTAAAAAAACAAAACAAAACATTAAAAAAAGAAAATTGGTATGTTAATAGATGCCTCAGAAACTTAACTACTAATAGCCTACTGTTGACCAGAAGCCTTACTGATAACATAGTCAATTAGCACATATTTTGTATATTATATGTATTATGTACTATATATTTTTACAATAAGGTAAGCTAGAGAAAAGAAAATGTTATTAAGAAAATCGTAAAAAATTCCTAAGGAAGAGAAAATGTATTTACAGTATGTACTGTAAAGAATCCACATATAAGTGGACCCAGACAATTCACACTCATGCTTAAGGGTCAGCTGTACGTTCATCACATCATTGCACAGCCCAGTTTTGAAAAAAATTAGATTTCAAAGGCAAGGAATGCATTCTCTGCTCATCACATTAAAAAGGTCAGCTTTTTAATTGAAAAATTTTAAAGGGGAGTCCTGGGGGAAGGATCAGATATTGTCAAGGGGATATTTAGTATTACAGCATTATTTATAAGACCTACAAGTTGTCAGGGGGAAAGAAGCTGTGACCTCAGCCCAACTATGAGCTAACAAGTGTTTTTGAACAATGTGAGAACTCAAAGTAAATAGTATCCATAAGTTCTTTTTTGATAAACTATAACAATATGGATATCAGCCATCCAGTACATGAATAGAGATGATACAGTTAAAAGGATTAGCAGGGAACAGAATATGAACAAAAACAAAATACTTGTGAGATTTGTGGTAACAGAATAAATACAAGTATAATGAAGTAAAACTAATAAAAGTCAGGATTGAAGCAGGAGAGAAAGCGGGAGGGTAAGTATAAATTTGCTGATTTCCCTTTATTTTTCAGCTGTCATAAAAAGTTTAGATATCAAGTAATAGAGTGACTAATACCTTTTCATTTATAGGAATGAAGACAAACACTTGAAGAATTAAATGTAATATGTTTAACCAAAATCAAACCGTGCAAAGGAGACACAAAGAAGTAAAACCCAATTGAATGTCTTATTCTAAAGACATAATCAGATGCAACCAAAGATGAAAACAAAACCTTTTTATCTTTACACTTTCTTTATATTTGCAAAGAACTGAGAACATGTATGGCATATTTATAAAAACTGGCCACATCCTAGGTCACACAAAAACAACAAAAAGCTATCCTACAGGTAATGTTTCTTGACCAAACCTTTTCTCAGTTTCCTTTGTGGAAGTGGTTCTTAGTAAGGTCAACAGCATCAGCAGCGCCTGCCAGCTTGTCAGAAATGCAAATTCAGAAGCCCCATCCCAGATCTACCGAATCAGAAAGTCTGTAGGAGAAACCCCAGGATCTCTGTAGAAGCCCCCAAACCCGTATAAGTCAGGTTTTGTACATATCCCATTTATGTTTATTATTTGCAGTTGTTATTTGTAAAATGCCAAATGCCGTGGTAAATATTTTTGTTTTTTCTTGTTTGGTCTCATCTGATATTTCTTCAGGAGAGGAACTTAGCAACTCAAAGAATGTGCTATGGAATTTTAGGTAACTTTTTCTTTTTTCTGTTGCTAGTTATTAAAGGTGAAAAAGTAAAAATAGGTTTTGTCTCTTTAGAAATTTTGTTTGTTTGTTTACAGAAACAAGATTATCTTATTATCCAAAAAAGATGACACCAACTAGGTTACTCTCAAAAGACAACCAAGTGAGCACCACAGACTAATGAGTAGAATCAATAAGAACGTGATTTTGGCGCTTTTAACTTTGACAAGTTCTGCATTTCTGCTGTTTCAGTTGTACTACTACAAGCACTATTTATCAGCAAAGGTAATTTTTTTTAATTTGTATTCCTCTCTGCATATTTTTCTGTAGCTGTTGTGCATAGTTTTAAGGATATTATCCCTTTATCATATATAATTCAAACATTTTTCATGGTTTATTAATTTGCCTTTTAACTTTGTATTCATAGTAAATACCACCACCACCACCCTGCCAGTATATTTGCATTTAATTTCTAGGTAGAAAAAATTTCTAGGGAGAAAAGCCATCAAGATCTTTCTTCTTTAGGGTATCTGGTTTTGTGTTAAGTACCCAAAGACTGTGGAAATATTCACCTGTGTTTTCATCAAATACTGTTTATGTTTAAATTTTTTAACTGAATAGAATTTATTTTAGTATGAGGTATGAATTAGATCTCTAACTTCAAGTTTTTCCCAAATGGTTGACCATTTGTCCCAATATCACTTATCACTTATTAAATTCCTCCATTAACTTAAAATCCCATCTTAATTATGTGTGACATTCCTACAAATAAACTACTATTTTGACCCTTTCCCCTGGAATGCAGTATAGCTCTTTGCATTTTTTGAAGTAGGCTCCATGCCCAGAGTGGAGCCAGCGCTGGGCTTCAACTCATGACCCTGAGATCAAGACGTGAGCTGAGATCATGAGCTAGACACTCAACCACCGGAGCCACCCAGGTGCCCCAAATGCAGTGTAGCATTAGTTGTAAAAAGCAGAAACTCAAGTCTAGGATTAAACCTAGCATTTATGCTGCTTATTAGCTGTGGGATCTTGGGTAAATTACTTTTAAATGCTGTGTTTTCTCATCTATGAAATAGAGACAATAAAGGTACCAGCTTGTAGACTCGTGAAGCTTAAATGAATTAATACACATAAAGCATTTGGAACAGTGCATTTCATAAAGAGATCAATAAATATGAGCTATTATTATCTTCATATAGTGTGATATTGGTTTCAGGAGTAGAATTTAGTGATTCATCATTTACCTATAACAGCCAGTACTCATTCAAAAACTTTTATTGATAAGTCACTGTTTGCTAGGCATTTTGACAAGGTGATAGAAACAATGAGAAATGGGTCTTCCATATTTTTGTAATTTGTTGGGGACAGATGCTAATGGAAGTATAGATGCTTCCTGTGTGTTCTTAGTGTGAAGATAAAATACTATCTAAGAGGAGTACAATCAGTTTCTCTATCCCAGCTGGGAAAAAAGTTCTTTATTTAAAAATAGTAGCTATAGTTAGAATAATAGACACTGAAGTTCCCAACTTCTAAAATTTTTTCAGTTTTATTGAGGAAAATGTTAAACTTTCAGCTTTTAATTAAACTTCAAGGTCTCACTTAAACTTCAGGGAAGTACAGATGGATCTCAAGTATTCTAATATAGTTTCTTGCAACACAGGAAGAAAATTCAGAATTTTGTAAACTTTGTTTACTGATTATATCTGAATTGCATTTCTCATTTGTTCAGTGTTCTCAATATGGGATATTCTTAGATATAAAATTCACACAAAATGATTTCTAGTTCAATTAAAGTTGTTTGATTTATTAGCAGAGGAGTAGAGAATAGTAACCTTGATTAACACTAACTTACATATCAGCAACATCAACATGAAAAACCATGATTTTAGGGGCACCTGGGTGGCTTAGTCAGTTAAGCATCTGACTTCAGCTCAGGTCATGATCTCACGGTTCGTGCCTTCCAGCCCCACATTGGGCTCTCTGCTGCCAGTACAGAGCCCACTTTGGATCCTCTGTCTTTCTTTTTCTCTGCCCCTTCCTACATGTGCAGGATAAATAAAATAAATAAAACATAAAAAAAAAAACAACAACTATGATTTTGGGTCACGTTTGAACTTCAAGGCAATTCAGAAAGACACTGAGATTGTGTGTTAAAGCTAGGGCAAGAAAGAAAAACTGGTTTTATCTGATCACAACCTATTGCAGTAAATGCCTGTGGTAGTAAATGTTGAGGACTGCAAAGCTTTTCAGGCTCTTCAGGAGAATACTCTAATATTTATCATTGGTTAGGGAAGAAGGATTAATGATATCTTGGAGTTAAGAAGGCCTACTATTTTTTCCAAGATTTTATTTAAATTCAAGTTAGTTAACATATAGTGTAGTATTGGTTTTAGGAGTAGAATTTAGTGGTTCATCAGTTACATAGAATGCCTGCAGCTCATCCCAACAAGTGCCCTCCTTAATGCCCATCACCCATGTAGCCCATCCTCCTGCCTACCTCCTGTCCAGAAACTCTCTGTTCCCTACAGTTAAGAGTTTCTTATGGTTTGTGTCCCTCTCTGTTTTTGTCTTATTTTATTTTTCCTTCCCTTCCCCTATGATCATCTATTTTGTTTCTTAAATTTCACATATGAGTGAAATCATGGTATTTATTTTTCTCTGATGGACTTATTTCACTTAGCATAGTTCCATCTACATTGTTGCAAATGGCAAGATTTCATTCTTTTTGATATTATATTCCTGTGTGTGTGTGCGTGTGTGTGTGTGTGTGTGTGTGTGTGTGTGTGTGTATACACCACATCTTCATTCATCAGTCAGTGGACATTGAGGCGCTTTCCATAATTTGGTTATTGTTGATAGTGCTACTATAAACACTGGGGTGCACATGCCCCTTGGAATCCGTATTTTTGTATCCTTTGGATAAATACCTAGTAGTGTGATTGCCAGATTATAGGGTAGCTCTATTTTTAACTTTTTGAGAAACCTCAACACTGTTTTCCAGAGTGGCTACACCAGTTTGCATTCCCACCAGCAGTGAAGGAGGCCTGCTTTTGACCATTTCCAGGGCCTCACCACAGAATTCCTTTTGGCGCTAACTGGTTAGACAAGTTTAGCCTTTCTTTTTTTTTCCTTTTTTTTTTTTTTAAATGTTTTATTTATTTCTAGGAGAGAGAGAGACAGCATGAGCAGGGGAGGGTCAGAGAGAGAGGGAGTCACAGACTCTGAAACAGGCTCCAGGCTCTGAGCTGGCAGTCAGCACAGAACCCGATGCGGGGCTCGAACCCACGAACCGCGAGATCATGACCTAAGCGAAAGTCGGACGCTTAACCGACTAACCCACCCAGGCGCCCCAAGTTTAGCCTTTCTATGATCTCCTAAATGAGGTCTGAATAATCTAGTTATTTGATAGCATTGAAGATAAGGAATTTGTATGTTATATCTGTTGGGTCACTGAAACTCCATAGATGGGTGGAATTGAATCTCCAGATTCTAGAGCAACCATCTAGATCTTTGAAATACAAACTCTTACAGGCCTTTGAAATGCAAACTCTTGTGTGATGGCCTTGTGAGCAATTTCTGTGAGCTTCACCTTTCAAGTAGTTGGCTGGCAGTTTACATCACAAAGGAAAGGGTGTCTCTAGGACCCCCATGAATGTCAGTTGTTCACTGTTTTTTTTTTTTTTACTGCACCAACCTGGACAGTCTGATTATAATTCTGTGTGCTTATCAATCTGTATTTATTGATTACGTGTTAGATATAGGGCACTTTGCAGGAACACAGAGATAAATAGAGCACAGGTCCTACTCTCAAGGAATTCATAATTTGGTATAAATGGCAGCAGCATGAATTCATGAGTTTGGAACCTAGATAATCCTGAGTCTGACTTTGGTTGTTTGTCTTACAGCAAGTCACTTAACTTCTTTAAGCCTCAGTTTCTTTAAATGGAGCTACTAGAAGCTTTACTGGTTGAGATAATGTATGTAATGCATCTCACTTAGTGTTTGATATATGGTAGATACTTAGCAGATGGTAGCTATTAATAGATTACATACTGTAGTCCTATCAAGGTTTATGTTGCTGCTTGATCAGTAAAACTGTATTTAATTATTACAGGTTTCTCATTTGTCATTTTTTCATAAATGAGTTATCTGGAGCCCAGATATGATTAGCTTCTTGCTGAAGATTGCCAAGTTCAGGTCCCAAAACTTGTGTCTTCACTCCTAAGCTAGTCCCACATGTAAATACAAGTATGTTCAAACAGAATACCGTTGACATTGGTAAGATATGAGATGATATGGCTTTCAGGTATGAATCACAATAGAAAATTATGAAATATTGCTGCCTCAGTGTAAGGAAGACAAAGCCCGTGCACTGTGTTTGTATAAAGCACTGGATAAACCAAACCTTCATGATGTCCTTGACTTAGAACCGTAAGCAGCACCCAGTGCCTGCAGTATTCAGCTACTCTTACTACCTAGCAAGCCACTTACCAGGTTCTTTACTAGGATATCTTACTTTGCATTGTATGTAATTTTTTTTTGTCCCTTATGAGTATATTTATGTGTACACACATGTACACACACACTCGACACTGAATGAGGAGAGGGCCAAAACAGAAAAGACAAGAAGTGTCCAGGTAGCACTGGCACAGGGGAAGAGGAGGGACAAGGGAACATTTGTCCCTACTCTGGCTCCCACCAGTGACCTCCTAACAGGAGGTGAACCTGAAGCTGGAAGAACAGGAAGTGCTTACTCTTACAAAGGAAAGTGTCAAAGTACAGTCATTTCTCTTTTTAAAAAGCCTCTTCCCTCCACTCTCTGACCCCTGCCTAAAGCCCCATCTCCTGAGGTGGCTGTCCTTAAGGCTGGAGCAAGACAAGATGGTGGGGAGTGGCAAAAGGCTAAAGATCTGAAGTACCCAGAAGGGCTTCTACATAGGGACTGCTGGGCTCAGCGTGTGAGCCCCTCTGTGGTCCAGCTGGTCCTGCAAGTGGGCAAACTTGACCATCCCGTTGAGCTCCTGGAACTGTCAATCTGTCTCATGCCTGGGCAGTGAGCTGCAAAGTGTGGTTACAAAGCTAGGGGGGAGCTGGAAGGGAGTTTGGATTTCAAGTTTGGCAATAGTCATTCACTGTGAACAATTTCATACGCCATTATTAGAAATGGAAATTAATCTTATACCCATTTAGTTCATGTGCAAAAAAGGTTTTTGAAATATTTTTGAGTTGGTCAGTTGCTTGCTAAAATCATCTAAGAATCATGATTTTTAAACAGTCTTTGA